GATTACAGTTAACCGGCAAGAAGATGAAGGCATTTGCAAGAAGAATGAATGGAAGTGGAAAAGAAATAAAATTGGGATGGACTATTGAGTCAATTATATGATGCCTCAATGACCATGTAGAAGATTGACGTAAGAAACATGCCACTGGGGAAACTGAGAAGTCGTGTAGCAACGAGGCCTAATAGACAGGAATTAAAACAAAATCAGATATTGAAATTATGCATATAGTGTCCGGTCAGGCGACAAAACGGGCACGAGAACTAAAACAAACGCCTCAGTGGCAAGGTAATGTAGTCCTAGCAACCTCGAAGCATGACAATTCTAAAGTGACGGCAAGCATTGATATAACTGGAAAATAGATGAGAGGATATAAATAAATAGATCAATGGACATGTGGCAGGGAAGGGAGTAGACTGATACATAGACGAATGGATTAAAGTAGCAGTGCTTCAGGGGGCGATGTCACACAGAATTATGGCTGAAGTGCACTTAAGATGTTATTTTGGGTATGATGAAATTGTAAAAGAAACAGATTTTGGGACTCTCGGTGACACTATCTCCATGGGCGAGCCGAGAAGTCATTACAATTTCATCCACAGATGTCTAGAGGACGGGAGGCTTGATAAGGGCTGAGGGTTGTCAATATGGTCAGGATGCAATCAGGATACACAAAAGCAAAGGACGAAAGCCTAAACATGGAGATTGGAGGTGTGGCCGCCTAGCATATGAAGATGTGCCTAACTGACTTGTGGAGAGGAGAAACAAAAAGAAAGTGATCTTTAGCACAACCGGGCACGAGCAAATACAAAATAGCTCCTTACTCGAATGGAGCTGATGACACTTGCAGACATAGATTCTGTGAGTAGTGCACATTGGTTCCGTAAAAAATGGTTTAAAAAGGAAATCCGAGTAAGCCAAATAATGACAAATATGTATGCGGCAAAATCACAAAGGGAAAAAACTAACTCAGTCGGGATTTGGTAAAGCAAACAAACAGACATTCGCATATGCAGAAGGCGGACTTCGAGTACACGACTCCATACAAAGGTCCATATAGCCTAGAAGTTCGGGGTGAGTAAAGTGAGGCATGGAGTTTTGTGTGATATAAATGAGAAATGCAGTAAATTGGGCAGCCGGTAAAAGAGTTAAGTTCGATCAGGTAAGAAAATGATTTGTGGTCGGGAATAGTTCAATAATTGGTAAGACAAACCGAAAATCAAGATTGCAGTTAGGACGAAAAACTGGGTTTCTATGAGTATCTCTAGAGCCTAAAGTTGAGCGTTAGTCTCCTTTTACTCCTGTGATTTGTAGCCACAGTCAGTCACAATTACTGAGTTATATGTTAGTCTCGCAGCTCTACTTATATACGAAAAACAATTACAGAGTGTTTGCATGAGTTTTGATGCACTAGGACTCCACCAGATGAAGCGAAAGACACCATAATCCTGATGTTGCCTACTTTTCATGGTGTTCCAATTAGCTTCACCGAAAGCCGGAAGAGTTGTGATTGTAGGCTTACGCCTTGAGGCTTGGTGAATTTTCGTAAAATATGCTTTTCTGCTCTGACGATGTTTGCCACGGCGATACAAACAAGAGCCAAGCATGGATCCTTTAGGGTCGCAGGAGGATGCGCCGATGATTTATTGGCATAAATCTACATTCATGACTCCTTCGGCTTTCGGTGAAGCTAATTCAAACGAAGCGAAAAGAACGCTACCATCAAGATAGTGGTGTTTTTCGCGTCATTTGGTGGAGTCCAGTTGCATCAAAGCCCATGCAAATATTCAGTAATTGTGAGCGTCTGTAGATATCAATTACAGGAGTGAAAGGAAAATAAGTAACTTTAGTGAAAGATGAGGGTGGAGTTAAATGAGTGAGGATAGTAGTCACAGGAATGCCGACAAAAATATAAACAAACAAAGACAGCATAAACGTGCGATCCGAAAATCGTGTCAGCAATTGCTTAAGTAGCTGTCAGGCTTTGAAGTGGAAATAGTTTTTGGAGTGAATGGCATGTGCAGGGAAGAAAGAGTAAGTACAAGGAAAGTAGGAAATGTAAAAAGTAAATTGAAAGAGAGAGGGAAAAAGAGGAAAGGATACAAAATAGTGGATGCTGGGGGGAGGGTCATATACTTACAAGTCTCTTGAAGAAGGAGAGATATACAGTTTCACCAAGTTTGTCATCGAGACAATGAGATAACAAGAGAGAAAGACGAATTGCGGAGATAACCTTGTTTAATGTAAGAGAAAAGACGGTTATGGACAAAGGCCGTTCGGCCGGCCAGAGAAAGTATGTACAGGCTCCAGTGCATCTGGAGGTGTCGAGGAGAGCGCTGATGATGGCGATGGCGATAGTAGCGGAAGGTGGATTCCTGTTGGGACGGAGGAGAGACGGAAAAGGAGTACGAAGAGGAACGGATTAAAATAACCGTTACAATAGTAATAACATCAAAACGGAGTTTGAAATGCAATGGGAACCGAGAGACCGAATGCATCCGTTGTAACGAGTACAAAACAATGCCTATACCCTCAGGGGGCAGGAGTTCAGTAGGTGATTGAACCAGGCAAACAGACGTGCATAGCACATGTGAGAGCAGTGATTTACATGAGGCCCGACCGAGTCAGGCGGGATGCCAATTTTGGCAGCTGTGTGAACTGGGCAAGTTGCCTAGAGGGAGCCGGAACACTGACAGAAGAGTCTTCCACGAGGGGGCCGAGTGATGCCTAGGACGGGAGGGGGTAAGGTGACCATGTGAAGGCCAGACCGAAGCCCATGCTCCCTTTGTGCCCCGCACGAGTGTGCCCATCAGAGGAGAAGGGGATAAAAAGGTGAAATCAAATCACTGCAGAAAAACACCAGGAAAGAATAGGGTATCTGGGAGAGGCAGGAACGCGAACAAGATGGCAGCGATAGGTAGCACAAATTGGGTGACTGTGGCCTAGGAGGACGAGAGGTCGTAAGTCCTGACTGCATACCTACAGCCATCTTGTCATCACTCATTCCGCCTATCACCACCAGCACAAGCTCTCGCGTCGTCAAGGTGGTGGAAGATTAAAGAGGCTTCGGTGACGCCAACGGCAACGGCAAAACAACGTTCTCCAGTCCCCCAGTCAACATTCAACCTCTTCTTCAATTCGGTTGCAGAGACAATGGCCTGTTTACATTTTCACTTGGTCGTGGTGGCGGCGACACCCGTGACGGCCGGACAACCGTGATAGAAGAGAAAATGATGCCAAGAACGTGGGTCTGAAGTGGCACTTTAACTGGCTGGGGGGATTTAGTACGGCCGACGCTGCTCCGGCTCCTGGGACGCCCAGTCCCAGCCGTTGTCCTTAATCAGATGGGCCAGCTCTATGATGTACTTGCCCTCTTTGTACTTCTGGCTCGACTCGAAGGCCTGTTCGTACTTCCAGCCGAGCACAGTGTGACAGCAGTCGCAGTACAGGTCAGCCACGGAGTGCAAGCCTGTACATACACCAGCCGAAGTCAAAACATCGAGGGTGTGAGATGGTAGGGAAGGCAAAAATGACAGGAAGAGAGAGAGAGAGATAATGAAAAAGACGATTGGGAACAATGAGAGCCCGAGGCCCTGAGGAACGCCCAATGAGTGCCAAGGAAGCCAACTTAGTCATGAATAAAAGAAAAGTTGGGTTACTACCATTTAGAATAAAAGTTTTTGATGAAGACATTCGAAGGTCGATCCCTCCAAAGACAATGACGGATTCCTCTTTACCAGCTGTCGATTGGCTTTACTGGAACATTCTTGTTGACGCTGTTTCCAAGGCAATCTCATTCGATCCTTGCGAAAACGTGCTAACCTTTCGTTCGTCGTATGACGGACATCATCAACCAGCATTTAGGGCTGAGCCGATGAATTAGCTTGAATATGCTTGTTAGGCTGATACTCTGCTCTGATGATACAGCGGACGAAAGCTCAGCACGTTTTCGCCAGGATCGAACGAGATTGCCTTGGAAACAGCGTCAACAAAAATGTTCCAGTAAAGCCAATCGACGGCTGATCGAGAGAAATCCGCCGTCGTCTCCTGGTGAGATCGACTTTAGAATATCTTCACCAAACACTTTCACTCTAGATGGAAGTAGGCTCAACAAATGTGAATAAAAGAGTCAAATAAAATTCGTTTATGTACCTGAGATAAAAATTGTGGCGTGAAAAGAGAGAAAAAGAGGAAACACCACAGTTTGGTTGCCTCATCAACCGGTTCCTACACTCAACCTGGTACATGTCGCCAAAGGGCAAAACTGTGACCTTTCCACAGCCTCAAGGCATGCACAAGCACGACACGAATAGGGCCCGAGGTGCTGTTTCGAAGGAGCAGATGATAATGAAACTGATCTGTGAGCCCCCCACAAAAACATTTCAAGAAAGTTCTAGAGTTCACAACAAAAACATACTATCGAGTGCACTAGATTTCGTGAAATCTACCAAAATACGTTAAATCACGCGATGCAGATAAAGAGGTATAGCCAGAGCAGATGCCATCTTGAGACTGGAATCAGACAGCCAACCTGGCCGGCATCAGGAGAGAATGTGTGGCAAAATGACTGAAAGCAGTCTGCATTGTACATGAAACCATTTGCGTTCAGACGATGCTGGGTAAAAAGCAGCGCTCATTCTCACCCTTCTGCCTCTTCCCCAGTTAGCTCGAATGGACACATTAGTTTGGAAAATATGAAAGTCACTTAAGACACTTTCAAGAAGCTTAGAATACTAAATTGTTATACAACCAAAATAGGACAAGTGGGCACTTAGAACCTATTCACTTTTGGCAAAAAGCACATTCATTCTGTTTAGCATACACTCTTATTGTTGTCCTCTTCACTGAAAATTTCACTTTCGATAGCTAATTGGCTAGCTCACTGGAATCAAACGCAAGACCCTTCTCAAGTGGCATTCAGTATCTGTCCGAGCTACCGAATGAAGCAGAGGCGAAAATACATGTTGGCCACTTCAGAGCCTGCCAACACAACAGAGATCTCGCCGTGAGTTTCAACAGCAACTCCAGCATACTTTAACGCAATGCATGCTGTCCAGAGCATGAGATGCTCAACTGACAAGAGAGTAATGTAAATAGAATAAAATATAATTGTTGCTGAAGTATGATGGGGAAAAGGGAAGAAAATGGTGAGTAGGAATAGGAGGACAGTACGCAAAAGTATAGAAACTCCTAAGGCAATGGGAGCCCCAAAAAATTATTTAAGCAAGCATTCAGAAATGTGTAAATAATATGAAGTTATGAGATTTATTAAAATGTGAGCGTCCCTGACTATGCATAACTGGGTGATTATATGTGAGTAGAAATAAAAAATAAATATGATGCATTGCTAAAGGGTAGATCATGAATTGGCCGCTTTGGTGGACTTTAAATAGGAATGACTTTCCGTCGTTAAGGTACTGTTTATGCCAATAAACACAGGGCATGAATACAGACTAATATCAAATATGCTGATCTATCTCATTTGCATCTGGAGTAAAAGTGTCCAATGAAGAGATTCACAAGTCGATCTCACTAATAGACGACGGCGGATTCATCTCAGCCAGCTGTCGTTTGGCCTTATTCAAGGCTTCTGGTTTATGTTCTCCACAAGATAATCCATATCGGTACCAGTGATAAATGTCTGTCATGTCAGTTGAAATACGTCCTCAGAGCTGGGTACAACTCTTACAAATAATTCAAGCCAACGAGTCAATAAAACTGACTGCATGCATTGTCTGAGCACATGAATGTTTATGGGGTGTAAACTGATTTGGTTATTTCATGTCATACGTCAATCTATAAACATGTAAGTGCGTTCGCGCGTAGTTAAGGGAACGAAACCAACAGTGATTAAGGCAAATCATAATATCTGCCCCGGGCCATCAAAATTCAGTGACCACGTTTTAAAGCGTCACTCCGATTGTGTCTGCATAGGTTGATGGGTTTTTTGGCATAAACTCAGACGAAGAGCAAGCTTGGCAGTAATTAGAGCAATTGCAAGCAAATATACTGTTGCGGTAACCTTAATTTATTGTGAAAGTGCCCAATGAAGAGATCAGTTGGTCGGTCTCACTTGAAGACGACAAAAGATTTCCGTTTTATTTTAATACGACGTTTATGTGTCTGTATATTTCGAAGCAGTCGTTAATTTTTTATGCACAAGTAGACTTTTGAGACTACTAGTAGATCATATGTATAAGATGTATTCATCTTATTTCGTTTAGGGTGACAAAGGGTTTGATAGTTGAATTTTATTACAATGTTATTAGTAGACATGACGTCTCCATTGAATTTTACATAGCCTTGCTTTCACAGAAGTTATTCTCATAAAGGGTGGACTGAAGTTTCGACCACGCCTAGGTCTTATCAACATCCCCAGAGGGACTCGAACCATGACACTGCAGCGTTTAAGCTAGATGTTAACCGCTAGGCTACAATGACACCAATTCCCTTGAGTTAGAGAACAGATATGAATTTCAAGGAAGTCCCGAAAGCCTAGTTATAAGCGACAAATAAGTAGCGTGTTTGATTGCTATGACAAATATAACTTTGCTTCATCGAAAATTCCACCACAGAATGTGATATGGGAAAATTCATAGCCTTCCTCTAAATTCACATCCGTCCTGTGACCCCAAGGGAACTCGTGGCAATGTGGTGTAGTGATTAATGTGCCGAAATTATAGTGTGCACTTTCATTGTTCGAGTCCAGCTAAAGGTGTTGATAAGTCTAAGGCGAGGTCGAAACTGCAGTCAATCCTGGATGAGAATAACTTTTTGGAAGGCAAGGCTATGTGAAATTCAATGGAAACGTCACGTCTACTCATATCATTGTAGGAAAATTCAACTATCAGTCCCTTTATCACCCTTAACGAAATAGTATAAATACAACCCACAGTAATTTTTTAGTAAAAGCCTAGTCACACTAGGCCGTTCAAGGGATGATGCAAAGACAGTATGACGAGCCTTTCCACGAAGTTATGATGGCATCGAATTTCTCCTAAAAGGTATTTTTCTCCAGGCCATTGTGAGACCCACTTGAGTTATTGCAGGAAAAACTCCACAATCAGTACTGACATTCCATTAAGTGGCCTGGGGTAGCAAAGTTCCTGGTACCCTTTGGTTGGGCCCGTGGTGTCAGGCTTCGACTCAAGGATGTGGAGCGCCAGCGAAAGATTGACTCTGAGCCAGATTCCCATTCACTTTCCTGCAGTCAGCCTCGCCCAAACCGTCCCAGTGCAGTTGCGACCAGCACTAGGGCGTCTTGTCACCAAACACTTCACCATTGGTGGCGAAGTAGACAAGATAATCACGTTTTAAAGTACCTCAAAGTCATCCTCCTTGTCTCCAGCCTGTGCCGTCGTTGCGGCATTTCAAGGGATGCTTGATAGCTCCACAAATCCGATGTAGTCCTCACTGGCAATAGAGACCATCTCATCGAGGCCTTAGGCCGTCTTACGAAGAGATTGCACAGTAGAACAAGAGGATCTCACCGCGCTGATCGAATCATGACTGACAAACTTCCAGGCGCCTCAACCGTTGTGAAGGGACAGGAAAACGTTGCTACGCAGGTCTTGAGGCTTAACAACACTACTCCTTAACCGTTTATGCATTAGCTCGCCTCGACTGCCGACTTCTTTCAAGAGAGAATAGATACCCAGACTCTTGTGACAATCAGAATGATACAGCCTGAGCTAGCACTTCCAGTACCACTTTCCTTTCATTCGGAGGCAACCGCAAAAAGAACGAGAGGCTATTTCCCACAGCAGGAGCTGTGCCTCAGAATGGGCAGCATCCGGAAGATGAGTTTCGGTTTCGGACAAATGAGGTTCCTGCAGAGCAGCATCTCGGGATGCAAACGTCTCCCAAGCCGTTGCATGGGACGCATGGGGGTGAGGTTAGCCTGTCTTTCAACACAAACTCGGCCAGGAAAGTGATATTTTCGAAGAAAAGTAAACATAAAAACAATAACAAGTATCAAAATTGTGTGGGATGGTAAACAAAGACCCTGCCAAGGTAATTGAAGGCCTCAATTTTGTCAAATGAGTCAGGTACAATGTTGAGATTGAGATGGGGGCAACCATAGAAACGCCATAGTGGACCTCAAATCATGTCGGCTTTCATCTTCTAGAGATAGTCGGAATACAGAATAAAGTAATTATAATGATAGACTATAAAAAGAGCGTATGCTATTCGTGTGGGTGTCGATGTCTGAAACCGGCCATTTGAATATTCTACTTACATTCAAGCTGTAATTATTAACAATATTACAACTAATACTATTACTACTGCTACTACAATTAATAATAATAAGACAATCTGAAAATATTGGTGCACCAAGCATAATGGCATGAAGACCTAGCGGAACGCATCTTGTCCGGAGTCCATAGTATGCACATGATAATTTCATGAGTCGGACCGTGGACTTGCTAGATTCCTAAACGTTTCGATTGCCTCTTTGACGAGCTGTGATGTCGTGCTAAGAATGATAAGGCCAACTGACGTTGCCAGCGAAACGTCTGGGAATGTACCAAGTCCACGATCCGACTCTGGAGATTATCATACATACTATGTACTCTGGATAAGATTCGTTCCTCTAAGTCTTTCTATCGATATGGCAAAGTTGCAAAAACAAGTCAAATGACTAGCATGCATCGCAAGTAGACTGCGACCAAAATAGAGGCCACAACATCTTGGTCTCCGCCTATCAAAGAGCGAGATGCGAATGTGAGTTCATGAAGGTTGTATTAGGATGAACGAGGATCAGAGGTAGCGGTTAAAGTCATGAAAGGAGGGCTCAATTTTTGGCCATAATTGCTGCCCCTTCCCATAGCCGTGGAGGGAGAACGAATATGGGGGGTACGATTGCTTTCACTTCTCTAAAGCATGCAATAGTCACGAGTATATGGCTTGTGATCGGCTCGTCGACACTTGAGCAGGAACAAGAGGATGCCAGCATCTAACCGCGATGTACTGGCATCTCCCTTGACAGAAGATACGGTGTGAAGACCAACATGTTCAGAGCAAAATGATGCACAGGTGGAGACGGCGCGTAAAGTGAATGAGTATGGGCGAAGATGTCCCCGTCGAGCGTAGGTTGGTTCGATGTTCAAAGTCGACTCCATCAAGAGTTATTAACGCAAGATCTGTCGAGTGATTTGTCTGTCAGCCTCATGAATGGACCCTAGCGAATTGCCTGGCTTGATATGGTAGATCAATTGGATAGACCTAATGAGAAGCTCGTGTGCGGGTGGCGGCAATGTGATTTATCGACAAATGTAAGTGTATGAGACAGGCTAATAGACATTCGTAAGTTGTCCTTGTTGGACATAACAAATAGTTGGGGGCTGGATGGTAATCGGTGTAGTGGAAAAAATCCGGGCTGGTTCACTAGAAGGGGAGACAGACATACAGAAACCACGAAACAAGCGCAGCCATCCGAAAGGGGTACATCTTGTTCGGGCTATTCTCTGTCGAACAGTATCCAACGCTTGTCATAAAAATCCTCTTTTCGGCACACCCTTGGCGATGGGCGCCCCATCCCTGAAGCCTATCGCAAGGCGCAACCATTGGAAGGTGGAAAAACACATCTTAGACCCACGACATACATGCTCATGAGGCCGGCGTTTAGTGAAGCACTGAAATGACGTTTTTGCTCATAACACCTCACAGACCGACTGGACGGTCGCCAAACCATCGTCACACCTTTCGACCTGGAACTCCATTCGTCTGCATCAGAGATGCTCAATGGCTGCATTCACACACACAGTATGAACAGCATTGGCAACAATGACTGTCGTCACCGACTAGAGCAGCAAAAGAGTTCAGAAGAGAGGGGCATTGGCCTAGCCAAGGACGGACAGTAAGATGTGGAGACAACGAAAATAGGACAAAAATGAGGAAAGAGGAAGTGCAGAGAAGGAGAAGAAGAAGAGGTAGAAAGTGAAAAAGGAGAATAAGGAGAATTAAGAGGCAGAAGAAGAGGAGAAAGAATTTAGAGGAATAATAAGGGTGAGGGTAAGAGAATGAGGCGAAAAAGATAGGAGGTAGAAGAGGAGCGGGAGGAAGAAGAAGAAAAATAAGGAGAATAGAAGATTAAGAGGGAGGAGAAGAGCAAGCGGAAGCGATAAAGGAGAAAGAACAAGAAATAGAATAGTATGAAGAGG